TGAAGAAAAGAGCTAAAATAAGGAAAGAACAAGTTAAAAATGACTTAGAAAAGTTAGATGCCTTCAGGTCACCAGGGCCTGATGAAATGCATCCTAACACACTCAGGCTATGTCTACACTGCGGGGGGGTTTCGGGGTGCCAGAGGTATCCCGGAAAAACGTCACTGCGTCCAGGGAACGCGTTTGCTCTTCTGCCTTTTTTTTGCGGAAGAGCACACACTCGCTCTTTTGGAAGCCCTTGTGTTCCTCGTTCTCTATGAGGAATAAAGGCTCCTTCGAAAGGAGGTTTCCTGCCGTTTGGCCCTGTCTAGACGGGGCCAAATGGCAGAAAAGCTTCTTCTGGAAAAGCAATCGGGAAAAGCTACACAAATTGTGGCGCGCAATTTGCGTAGCTTTTTCCGAAAAAAAAAACCCCTATAGTATAGATTTAGCCTCAGAAAGAATAAGGAAGGAAAGGGTTTGAGGTAGACATAAAGGGTACGTCTAGACTACAGGGTTTTGTCGACAGAAGTTTTGTCAACAGATACAGTCGACAAAGCTTCTGTCGACAAAGAGTGTCAAATCTGAGCTGTCTCCACTGGCTCTTTTGCGCAAAAGTTTTGCGCAAAAGGACTTTTGCCTTAATGGGAGCAGCATAGTATTTCTGCAAGAAGCACGGATTTCTTACAGTAGGAAGTCAGTGCTTTTGCGGAAATTCAAGCGGCCAGTGTAGAGCTGGCAAGTTTTTCCGGAAAAGCGGTTGATTTTCCGGAAAAACTGGCCAGTCTAGACACAGCCATAGTGTAGTAGACCTCGCCTCAAGGAGCTGACTGAGGGGGTATCTGAGCCATTACCTATCATCTCAGAAAAGTCATGGAAGTCGGGAGAGATTCCAGAAAAGGGCAAATCTCGTGTTCATCTATAACAAATGGAAATAAGGACAACTCATGAAACTACAGACGGGTCAGCTTAACTTCTGTGCCAGAAAAGATAATGGAGCAAATAATTAAGGAAGCCATTTGCAAACATCCGGAAGATAATAAGGAGATAAGCAACAGTCAGCATGGAACAAATCATGTCAAACCAACCTGCTAGCTTTCTTTGATAGGATAACAAGCCTTGTAGATAAGAGGGAAGTGGCAGACATGGTATATGTAGACTTTAGTGAAGCATTTGATATGGACTCGTATGACCTTATCAATAAACTAGGGAAATAACAACCTAGATGAGGCTATTGTAAGGTGGGTGCATAACTTGCTGGATAATCACATCTCCGTCAATGCAGCCATGTAGATTAGGCTGATCGGCAGAGGGAAATGAAGCCGCGATTTAAATAATCGTGGCTTCATTTAAATTTAAATGGCTGCCACGCTCTGCCGACCAGCTGATGATCAGCTGTTTGTGGGCAGATCAGGGCAGTTTGGATGCGTCGTGGTCGACAAGGAAGCCCTTGTCGACGGGCGCAGGTAAACCCGGTTTC